TTTTCTACTTCGCGACCAGGGACCTCCTGAGGCCCTTCGAGCCAGTGCTCAAGTTCCTCACCATCAAAGCCATCATCTTCCTCTCCTTCTGGCAGGGTACGTGAGCTGAGTGGGCGAGGGTGTGGGGCCAGGACCGGCATCCCTGGAACCTGGGTTCAAATATCCCTTCCCTCCCAGCCCTGTACGCCTCAGCTTCCCTAACCTTACCAAAAGTCAATACCTCAGCGGCTCAGTTTGGAGCTGGCAGAGCCTGGAGTTGGGGACCCAATGAGATCTGTCGGCAGAAGGAAGCTATGCCTTGGCTTCCTGAGCCCTGGTCCCCACCAAGCCCCCAGCAGGCCATGAGAACTCAGTCCCCATGGCCATTAGCGTAAGAGCAGGGGTCCCCAGGCCCAAGCTAGATATGTCTGAGAGCAACAGGAACCCTGACTTTGAGGTAACCAGCCCTTCTCAACCATAATCTCTCCACCAATGTGGTCAGTATTAAAGAAACCCTGGGATGAGGCTAACCCTTTTCCCTGCATACCCTGGGCTTCAGTAAGAACTTTGGCAGTGCTCAGCTTCCATCCAAGGATGGGGTCTGGATGGTTGTCTCTGTCTCTAGGAATGCTGCTGGCCATCTTGGAGAGGTGTGGGGTCATCCCTGAGGTCCAGGCCGTGGACGGCACCAGGGTGGGGGCTGGTACCCTTGCCGCTGGCTACCAGAATTTCCTCATCTGTATCGAGATGCTCTTTGCCTCACTTGCGCTGCGCTATGCCTTCCCCAGCCAGGTGTACTCAGAGAAGAAGAACTCACCAGGTGAGCTGGGCCCCACCAACCGGGGCTACCTGCAAAGGCTCAGCCACGATGTCCAGTACTGATCAGAAGGACATCCCTGTAGGTGTGTGGGCCAGGCAGGCAAGGGGGATTATGAGCTCTGAAAGATGTGCATAGAGGGAGCCACTCTCTTAGGTCTCCTTGGTGCTTGGGGAGGGTGTCAAGAGGGGCTGAGTTGACTACTCTAGTGAGTGTATTAGCTATATGGCTGGTGGCTGCCTGGCTCCTACCTGCTCAAGGTGAAAGGCCTCCTCCCCTGGGCATAGACCAATGCTGAGATGCAGGAACTAAGCTGGGTCTTGGGTCTGAGGTCACCTGCTAGCCAATGGCAAGGCCTAGACATGCAGGATCCCCCCAAACCCAGATAGCCCAAGGTGGCCTGTGAGAGGCAGGGCTGAGGGACCGGGTAGATGGAGTGGGGTGCCGCGGACCAGAGGACCTGCGACTCAGGCCCACGTGTTCTACCTTCCAGTCCCACCAGCACCTATGCAAAGCATATCCAGCGGCTTGAAGGAGACCATCAGCCCACAGGACATCGTCCAGGATGCCATTCATAACTTCTCACCGGCATACCAGCAGTATACACAGCAGGCCACCCACGAAGCCCCTGGGCCTGGCCAGGGTGGGCACCCATCGCCCAGCACCCACCCTGGCCCGGCCAGTGGCTCCGGAGGGGGTAAGAAGAGTCGCAACATAGAGAAACGCATGCTGATTCCCTCAGAGGACCTGTAGGGGTGGGTGTGGGGTGTGCGGAACCTAGCTGAGGACCTACCCATCAGCAATCTCTTGACGGAGGCCCAGCCTCTCCTGAGAGCTCACTGCGGGCCGCATGGGGGCCTCTCTATTCCATGTATAGCCCAGAGTGAAGTTACCTGGGCGAACTGGACAAACCCAAGGACCCAGTGAGATGCCTTAGTGACAGCCTGCAGGTGGAACTGTGAGTTGGCCCTTCCTTCCCGGGGCAGAAGAAACGGATGGTTAGATTCCAGGCTGTGTCGCTGCAGAGAGAGATGGCCAGGGAGAATGGGCCCAGTCACTCAGGGCTGGGGAGCCACAGCCTGGGCCTGGCTGTGGCTATCTTGGGTGCAAGAAAAAGGCCCCTTGCCCCGCATTCTAGCACAGATCCTTGGCAAGGCCCTCCCAGGGGCAGCCAAGTCTATCTAGCACAACAGGGTTGCCAGTGCGCCAGCCTGCCAGCTACTAACTGCTTATTTATAGATAAACGCCTTGCATTTTCTAGAGTCTGTTGGGCTTTCTTTTCTTGCGGGGCTTGTCCCCTGAGCAATGCATCACTAAGTAGTGGGTTCGCTGGGGCCCACAGAGGGAGGCTAGGTGTCAGAAACAGCCAAGGCAGACGTCATGATGTGGCTCAAGCAGTAGAGGGCAAAGACTGTGGACTTTGCCCCTAGATGACCGACCAGCTCTGTACCACAATAGGCGCAGTCACCTCCCCCTGAACCACAGGTTGGCCACACCCTGAAGCGGTTTATGAGGCTCGTGGCGCAGCCTCGCATGCCCTGGTACAGGGACTCAGGCCTGGGAGCCCCCCTTCTCTCTTTCCTCTTCCTGTGTACCTGGTCCAGTGCTCAGGGTGTCTGAGATAGGCTAGACTGGCCTTGCAAACAGGGAGGGCAAAGGTAGCAGGGGTAGGGAGTCAGTGATCAGCTGCCCAGGCGGGCACCCAGACCAATGCCCTGTGGGAACCACCCAACAAGCATCACTTGCCCGGTTGCCGGCTCCCACAGCCCACAGTATCAGACCAGAGGGGTGCACTTCCCTGCCTTCTTGTTCTCTGGGCCCAGAGACAGGAGGAGCCAAGGCCAGTGGCTTCTCGCTAACCCTTCTGGGCTGATAAGATAGACGCTCTTCCTCCCTGCACCTGGCTGTAAAAAGCCACCCACGCCTACTTATCTGCCTTCTGGGACTGGCAGGCCCGCAGGGTGGCCCTGCAGCCCACACAGTCAGCAGGAGCGGGAGGGGCTCTGTACTCCCAAGAGACCCACACTCTAGAGGCTGTGACAGGCTCAGTGCTGGCCTTCAAATATGAGAGGAGGCGGCTTAGGGCTCGGCCAGCAGGGGGCTGCCTTCCTCTGCCCTGGAGAGGCCATGTGCAGTGACAGGTTAGGAAGGGTCCCCTCCCTCCCACCAGCCCAGGTACGAAGGAAGTTCCTGGGCCTTGGGCAGTAGCTGGGGTCTGTGCTTTAGAGAGAAGGCAAAAATTAACATCGCTAAACCCCGACACATGCACCGGGAACCTCTGTACCCTGGTACTGGGGGAAGGTGTGCCAAAGAAATTAAAGAAGTTGCCCAAGGTTACTGAGCCAGTAGGGGATGATGCCAGTAGGGGTCACTAAGGTTTGCTTCCCTCTTCCCACCACCTACATTCTGACACAAAGCAAAGCCGGGCCAGGGATAACATGGCACCCAGGGCTCTGGTGGAATGCGGCTACAGACTGAGTCAGAAGGATCTGGCCAGGCCGAAGTGCTCAAAGAATGATGGGGAGTAATTGGAGTACCAGGGGAAGAGGAAGGCTTCGGTCTCATCGCCACTGGCTTAAGGACCAATTGCCAGTCCAGCCCACGGGGCCCAAGACAGGGCCACTTGCCATGCAGTCACTGGGCTCGCCCTGGCACAAACTTCTGCTATTTCGTGTGCAGGCATATATGCATGTGTGTATACATTTGTAAGTAGGTCAGAGGTCAATTCTGGATGTCTTCCTTAGTAATTTTCCACATTAATTTTTGGGACAGGGTCTCTCACTGAACGTAGAGCTTCATCATTTTGGCTAGGCTTGCTAGCCAGTGAGCCCCAAAGATCTGCCTGTCTTCACCCCTACAATTGCTGGGATTACACAAGTTGACAGTTTTCTGTGTTGGTATTGGGGATCTGAACTCGGGTCCTCACATTTCCATGGCAGGTACTTTATTAATCCATCACACTAGCCCCCACTCCTTGAGACAGGGTCTTACTTTGTAGCCTAGGCTGGCCTGGAACTATGTAGCCAAGGCTACCCTCGGACATGGAGTGATCCCACCACCTCCTCCTCCTCAACTACTGGGATTTACAGGCATGAGCCACGATGAAGGGCTCCTGCCGTTTTGAACCTGTCCTGACCTCTGGTCCCCATGTGTGAGGTGACCCAAGTAAACCTGAAGTGGTCTACACTGTGCTGAGGGCCCCAGAGTGGACCTGGTGTGGGTGTGCCACAAGTGGTCCTTCTATAGTCCGTCTGCCCACAGAGGCTGGTTGCCACTCAGGGACAGGAGTAGGCTAGATAGGCTGGGGCCAGATTCTGGGGTCAGCTGGAGAGAAATCTGGCCTAGCCCGAGACTTTGTCTTGAAACTCACCAAGTAGCCTAGGGCCAGCTGGCCTGTGAGCCCCCGAGGTCTACTTGTCTCTGCCTCCCGAACACTGAGATCACAAAAGTGCACCTGGCTATTGTGTGTGGTTTCTGGGGACTGAACCCAGGTCCTCGCACTTGCAAGGCAAGCACTTTACCAAATCACTGTCCTCAGCTCTAGTCAGACTCAGAAGTCTAAAATTCTGTGTTAGCTTCAATGAACATTGCATTGCCCTGTGCCCTTACACCCTGCCCTTCTTGCAATGTCCTGCATGTTCATCCTAGACCCCATTCAACAGTGTTCAGGGGCCAAGCAGGTGATATGGGTCACCCTGAGAAAGGGGTGGCTCAGGTCCCTGAGGTTCCCAACTATAAAGCACAGGTTGCATTGGCCATCAGAGGCCTCTTGCTAGGGTAGCCTGGACGTTCAGACATATCTGCAGGTGAGTAATCACGAGTGCAGGTGGAAGGTGTCACCTTGTGGTAGTCCCTACATCTCAGGAGACTCCCAGGGAGGATCAGGTACAGAATAGAAAGTTAAGCCTCAGGGGCTGGAGAGATGGCTCAGAGGTTAAGAGCACTGACTGCTCTTCTAGAGGTCCTGAGTTCAATTCCCGGCAACCACATGGTGGTTCACAACCATCTGTAATGAGACCTGGTGCCCTCTTCTGGCCTGCAGGCATACATGCAGACAGAACACTGTATACATAATAAATAAATCTTTAAAAAAAAAAAGAAAAAAAAAAAAGAAAGCTAAGCCTCATCAGGGAAGGGCCAGCCCAGGCTGTAGGGCAGGATGCGGGGTTCCCACCCACATCACCATCCACACACCGGAAGCATCTCAAACAGGAAATTCTTTATTGCAAAGATACAAAAGCAGTCACAGCGACATGTACAGCAATAAATTAGGTGGTGGCCACGAGGCGGGGCACAGACAGGGGTCAACCGTCTGTGATCTCTTCTCAATAATTTATAACATGGGGGAGGAAGCACAAAAAATAAATATTGAAATGAAACTGCCAAGTAGCAGGTGGCTGGGGACACCAGGCCTCTGCGTAGTCAACATGTGTCCCTGTCACCTTTTGAAAAAGTAAAGCTTGCTTTGAGAAGTTGGGGGAACAAGACAGAAAACTCACTTTTATCTTAAATAAAAACATCCATATATTAAATTGTGACGATGACGTTTCAGTGACATAGAGCCACGGGGCATGCTCACACCCTTCCCAGTCCCCTCCAGGCAGGTACGCTGCGTGGGTGCTCCAGGTAGCAATGAAAGTCCCATCCACCCTGAAGGCCAACAGTATGGAGCCTCCAAGGCTCAGGAGGGCACCACAGGCTAAGAGTGGGCCGCAACCCACAGTCAGTGGCCATGTGCCTAGCACTGGAGACCACCCTGGAGACCACTCATCCAGTGTGACACCTGCTGGAGCAAGTTTCACCAGTAACCCAGCATGCCCAGCGCCGCCACAGAAAGACTGAGGAAAGCTGTTGGCACCCTGGGCCTCCATCCATGGCCAGTTCCCCACCCCACTGTCCAACCTACTCTGCATTAATAAAGATCTACAGTATCAAACTGGGAAAGAAAATTGTTATGAAAAATCTGTACGATAAAATGTGTATATAATTATATATATATATATATATATATATCTTCTCTCTCTTTAAATATCCCATGGTCCTTATTGATATCCAATATGGATTACCTACCAAGGCTATGGTTCCAACAGTGCTTTCTAAGTGCCTGGCTTTGGCTCAGCCTGTCCCCCACTCCCTGTCTACCATACTCCTCAGGGCCTGGAGGCCTTAATCCCTTCAGTAAGAAAGCACAAGATGGCCAATGACCCAGAACTCTATGAAGGAGGAATAGGCGGGTAACAACTGGGCACCAAAGCTGCAGAGTATCTGCACCTACAGTCTGCCCTGGGCCTCTGCTGACACCCACAGGGGGTGTGTCCACAGGCCCTCCAGATGCACCCTTTGTCCCTCCATACTATATCTCTTAGGCCTCTTCCACATCCCCTGGGCCGCCAGGACTTCACCTCCTTCCTATTTCTTCCTAGCAACAAGACACATATTAACTGCCATTCCCATATTCCTCAACCTCTCTCAGGCTTCACAGGCTCCCCTCCAGCTTCTCCTCTGCTAAGCCCCAGAGAACCCAAGCCCCGCGGTCGGCTGGCTCTGTGGACAGGTGGCCTGCACCATGACGGGCAGCCTCCTTAGCTAACAGACCCCCAGGGACATTCCAGGACATCCATGCAACCCTCAGCACACATACTGGACAGGCTCTGTGTGGCCACCTGGCCCAGCAGCTTCCTGCCGTCACAGGCAGCCTGTGTACACACAGGAACAACGTACTAGCCCCTGTAGGTGACAATACTGGGAACTGTTTCCCAGGACACTGACCTGGCTCTAAGGGTTAAAGCAGGTTGTAGCGCCCTTTGATAAGGACAAGAAGACCAGCGCCCAGAAAGCGATAGTATGGTGTCCACCCCAGCTGGAGGCCCTCAGGGGATGGCACTGATGGTACTGACAGACAGGCACCGGAGAAGTGGAAGACCAGTCCTCACTCCCTGCCACAGGGGCCTGATTGTTCATCCTGCTGGCCCATGCAGTTCCTGTCAGCAGCTACAAACACCCGGGGAAGGAAAGATGTGAGGGGGTTGCTGGCGGCACTGGCTCACGAGAGAGAGCCTCCCTTTTTTCCTGCATCTGCCTGTCCCCGTTATCCTTGCCCTCAGCCCCACAGGGTCCACAGTGGGCAAGTGGCCATGAGGAATCTGTGCCAGGGAGCCCGGGATAGGCGTGAGGGCTGTGCCACTGCCCGCGCCCTGCCCGGCCCCAGCAGGCACTAGGAAGCGGCTGAGAAGGGCACAGAGGTGGAGGAGAGCTCGGCAGATTTGACGATGGTGATGACACTGGTGGTGGCCACCTTGGTGGGTGTGACAGGCCCTCGGGCCACGGTGCGTGCGAAGGTCTGCAGAGCCTCGTACTTGGAGCGCAGGGCATCCAGCTCCAGCCGCATGCTGCTGTTCTCCCGGGCCAGCTTCTCTACTTCCTGCTGCAACTCGACACGCTGCCGCTCCAGCTCCTCCTTCTGCGTCACACGCTTGATGCGACAGCTCGCCGCGTAGCCTCGGTTCTTGAGTGTGCGCCGCCGCTGCTTCAGCCGAGTCACCTCCTCCTTGGTGAGCCCCCGCAGGTGCTGGTTCAGCTCCCGCACCGACATGGACACCAGCTCATCGTCACTAAGCACAGGGGCGTTCTCGCCCGCCTCCTTCTTAACCTAAGAGCCAGATGAGCAAGCAAGCGTTAGCACAGGGGACCCAGGGTCACGGGACTGGCACAGTCACCGAAGGCTGGGATCCGGTACAACAAAGACCCAGCAGGGCATCTCACCTGCCCTGTGTTCCCATCCTACAGCAAGGTGGCAGCATGGGACTCCAAGATTATGCCCATGGCCTGGTACCACAAACTACCCCACTGCTGTTGCTATGAACCTTCTTTGAACAGGGAGGACCCGACAGCCATTCCCTCGAGAAGTAAGGTCTTGGTCAACTTCTTAAGCTTTCTAGACGCACAAGGAACAGGCATATTTCCCCTCAGATGCTCTGGCCAAGCATTTCGAGGCAAGGGACAGGATGATACAGTAGCCTTGCCCTTCCCTCACATCTACCCACTGGTGCAAAGCCTGAATCTGGCCGGTCAAGGCTCACTCAAGGGAGCCCAGCACACAGCACGTAGGAGCCTGTGAGGCAAGGAAGCTGACTCAGAAGCACCTTTGGTGATAGAGGCTGAGAAGGCCCAGAAGGTAGGAAAGGCCTGGGCCGGCAAAAGGGACACCAGCTTACCTGAGGATACCGCTCTGCCCACCTGGCACTAGGGGAAGAGCTTGGGCAGAGGAAGGGCCTATGCATGCAGCTCCAAGCGCTACTCAGCACCTGCCTTACCACCCCTCCGCCTGTGAGCTACCTCCCTGGTCATCAAGGCCAAGTTCTTCTGGGCCACTGTCCCACCTCTCCTGGGATCCTTACCCACTTCCTGAGGACAAAGCTGACCTCATTTTCAAGGGGCAGTGCTGTGAAAGCGGGGCTGTCTTTCCTGTGCCATGCCAGGACAGTACCAGTCACAGCCCATGCTGGCCCAGCCCGCCTCACCTTCAATGCCTTATTCGGCTTGGGATTAGTCGTCATAACCCGGGCCCTGTCACCAGGACGGAACCACCAGGAAATTGTCGCTGGAAAGACACAGAAACAGCTTGGGTTAGGACCTAGCAAGCTAAGGACATTGCCTCTGAATAACAATACTTGGAAACAGTTCTGCTCTCAACAACCCAAGACAGTAACAATAAAACCTTAGTTCCAAAACAAAGTGAATGCACATGTAAATTGATGTGTTCTTGTCCCAGTATGTCTGGCCAGCAACTCTACAACATGTTTCAGAACATGTCCAATTCAGTTACAAAGTAACATGTCCCCCACCCAGTTCACAAGAGCTTATGACAATGGTTCTCAACCTTCCTAAATCTTTCTAATGCTGCGACCCTTTAATGCAGTTCCTCATGTTGTGGTTACCCCCAACCATAAAATTATTTTCATTGTTACTTCATAACTAATTTTGCTACTGTTGTGAATCATAATGTAAATATTTGTGTTTTCTGATTGCCTTAGGCAACCCCTGTGAAAGGACATTCAACCCCAGAGGGGTCATGACCTACAGATTGAGAACCACTGTCTTAAGCACTCTGGCATGGGCATCCTGGCCAAGCTGTATCTGCCCAGCAGGCAGAAGTGAAACCCAACCACACTTCATGCTCCAGCATCAGCCTCCAGGGCAGACAGGTCCCCTAGGTCAATGGGGCCTGCCGTCCAGTTCCCCATCCCAGCTCATGCCAGCTCATCCCAGCACTGTGGAGTAACTGCGCGTAAAGAAAAATTGTTGCTTCCTGCTCTGGGTCTCCCCCTCCCCCCAAATTCAGACAAGGTATTTACAGCTGTGGGATACCAGGTGCTGCATCCTCAAGACCAGAGGGACCCGCCAGCAACAGAGCCAGCTCTGTAAGCGGCAGTACTCAGCTCTGGAAGAGGGTCTTGGGACAGTGTCCCTTAGCAAGAGCTCCTGATGGATCACCAGGGAGAAGGATGGCCCTCTCCTGAAACCTCATTCACCCCCAAAGACAGATGGGTACAGAACACCTGCCACTCCTCCCCAGCCCCGCCCTCCCGCAATCCATGGGACACCTACCGCTGTGAAGGACACTGCAGCTGTGACATCACCATTCCTCCCAGGCCACCCCAGCCCCTCAGAGTGACCCCCAAGGCCCCTATGGGTGGGGTGGGGGCTACTGGTGGATAGCTGTTCAGAGGATCCAGCCAGAGACACAGACAGAAGACTGCAGCCACCTGGCAGACCCACTGAGCTGTCTGGCAGAACCTGTGCCTGTGGCCAGCCCGCCAGCCCCCTTGCCCGCCCTTCTCATTCTCCAGTCTGCATTGTGTCACACACCCTCATCATTCATGAAAAAGCCAGCCAAAGCATCCCAAGCATGATTCCCCTCTGATAGTTGCCATGGCGACCTTGGGATGTAGCCAACCCCCCATGGTCTCCATGGCAACGGAGAAGCCCAAAAGCACTCAGGACTTGTGGGTCAAGCCTGTGCAGAAAGACAACACGAGGCTCTCAGGCAGTAAACAAACCCATTCATTCCCTGACAACTGGGGAAGGGGTAAGAGGGACGGGGCGGCCTTTGGTGGGATGCACCTCCACCTCTTCTTGTATTTCAAACCCTGACAAAGATAGTCACAGAACAAGGGATGTCAGGGAAATCACACAAAGGAGAGTGTAGAGGATAGGCATGAGCAAGACAGTGGGTGACCTCCACTGTCCCCTCCCCCACAAACCTGGGGCCCTGAGTCCCGATCTCTCTACCCTGTGACTCCACCTCTGATGGGGTCTTGTCTCCATTGCCCACCACCCTCACTGCCAAAAAGCCATCAGTGAGAGACAAGGTATTGACTCTGTCAATAGACACCCAGCACCCTGGTGACATCACTGGTCACTCTCAGAGGCAATGGCAACAGGCAGAGCAGGACAGGGGCAGAGCCAGTCTAGAAGAGGTTCAGGTAGACCAGCATGCATCCTGACACTGCCCATCTGAGACCTGAGGTGGGACTAGAGCTAGTGGGGTGATCTAATGGAGATAAGAGGCCACATGGGGATGCGGGCAAAGTCTTTATCCAGACCCCCTCCAGCTCCAGCTGGGTTACAGTAGCACTGGGGGAGTCACAGGCTTCTGCCACTCCATTAGGAACTCTCAGGAGCCAGGCGCCTAGGAGCCCCGGGAGCCCTGAGAAAGTTTTCCGTAAAGAGGGAGGAGGGGTTGGGCATCTCTTCCAACTTGCAACCCCAGCGTCAGTGACATAGCTATGTGGTGAGTCACAGGCTGTTTACAGAGCCGGCTCACATTCCCACACAAGGACACCCCTCCCACCCGCATGCTCACGGGCCCCAGGGGCCACTGCCAGCGGAAAAGGAAGGTGCTGGGGAAGAAAGGGGACTCCACACAGATCCACGGGTGCTGAAATACGCAGGCCAGGGCTCAGCTTGGGGCAGGAATCTTTCCACTCCCGTGATGATGGTGCTGTGACACCAGGTGGCCAGGATGTGCACAGGGCAGGGGCCTGACCACTGGATGGAGGCCACCTGGTCAGCAGAAAGGGCCCCTCCCTGGATCTCTCCATGTACACCCACCTCATGGGCTCCTGCTGGGGTCTGGGTTAAGGGACCCTCTTCAGTCCTCAGCTGGCTTAAAGAGGACACATGAAGCCAAGAAGCCACGGACAAATGCCAAGCCCTGCCGATGCTCGGGTCACTTCCTCAGAAAAAGAGGATGGGAGAAAAGGCACCAGAGGCGGCAGGTGGTCCTGGCTGAGAAGCCCCCATTCAGGAGTCCTGGGGGCACACACTGAGCTACTACATTTACCCCGGCTTACCCTGCCCCAGCTAGGCTTCTGCCTCTGGAACCCTGTTCAGCAGGGACACTTGGACACTCATCAAGATAATTCAGACTTCATCCTGTATGGCCATCAATATAAAAGTCTGTCCAGGTGAAAGGTGAGGCCCACGTTGGCCCTGGGTCAGAGGTGTGCCCTTCTGCCTGCTGCCAATCATGGGGAACAGACTAGGGGACAGAGATCTTCAGCAACTTAGTGTGTGGCTAGGACGGTGCCCTTGCCTCAAACACACCAAGCACATGGGTACAGTCCCAACCTATCCATCAAAGGTCAAGCCAGGTCTGTCATCCCAGCACCTGGGAGGCTGAGTAAGAGGGTCACAAGTTGAAGGCTGGCCTGAGCTACAGTGTGTGTTCAAGGCCTCGCGAGACAACTTAGTGAGACCCTGTCTTAAAATAAAAGGAATGTAAAGGGGTCCTGAGAAGAATGTGTTGTTTGGAGGTCTCCTGTGGTGCTGGGGATAAACCCCAGGACTTGGAGTGCCACTGAGAGCCTTGCCCCAGCACCAAAGAGCCCTGTATTTGTGACAGACATTTGTAAGACAAATGTGATATCAAAACACTGAGCCACATGGTGGTGGCTCACTCAGGTCATCACAGCACTTGGAGCTCAGAGGCAAGAGGCTGGTCGCAATTTCAAAGCCAGCCTGAACTACATGGGGAGATCCTGTTTCAATAACAAATAAATAAAGGGGCCACACTGTCATCACAGCACTGGGGAGGTAGAGGCAACTGGAGACCCCTTCTCTAAACAAAAACAAATCAGCTTGTTTTTCCGAGACAGGGTTTCTTGTGTAGCCCTGGCTGTATTGGGATTTGCTCTGTAGACCAGGTTGGCTTTGAACTCAGAAATCCGCCTGCCTCTGCCTCCTGAGCCGGGATTAAAGACGTGCTACCACCACCCAGCAAAAAACAAACCACTCTTAATGGCTTCTGTAACTCTAAGGGGGCCTCAAGGTCGCCTTGCTGAGCCTGGGGTTAGAGGTTCATCGGCCATAGTCAAACTACACAGGACACCAGGCTGAGCCATAGGAACCCCCAGAGAAGCAGCTTACCTGCTCCCGTCATTCCTGTTGCCTTTTGCAATTTGAAAAGGCCATCAAGAGATTTAACAGTGGGAGTCAAGACAGGGGTCCTGGGCAGCAGTTCTAAGTCACCAGTCCAAGCAGGGCACATCTGGCCAGGAAGATCTGCCCAGATCCTCTGATAAACGCAGCCAGCCAGCAGGAGACAGGGTGGCCAGCCCTTCTATTTCAAGATGGACTGAGGCAGAAGGCCCTATGCATAAAGAACAGGAGGCATACTGCAGAGCGTGAGAATCCAGCCTGTACACCCAGGGACAGCAGGCAGTTCAGACAGCCTGTAGTCCAGTAGACTGTCCTTCTCAGATATGAGCGAGCCAGGCATAACCTCTCCTATCTTACTTTTCACCCCCCTTGGCTGTCCCTCAGCCCTGTGCTGCCCTGACTACACTACTCGGGGCATGTACAGCCTTGGACCTCCCTCCCTGCATGCCATCCTGGCAGTCCTAGCACACAGCAAGAAGGACCATGTCCAGGTCCAAAGAAGAAATAGACAGGGAGCCATGGGGACCTTGCTACCAGGCCTCTGGTGGATCAGAAAAGAAGGCCCCACAGTCTCAAGGGTCTCCATGTTCTTCAAGGTAATGAGCCTGGACCGCCCATCTCACTCTGCTGCAACTGTAACACCAACCTGAGGGTTCTGGATAATGCCCCCTGTTCCACAGGGGGATAGCAACTGCAGCTCCCGGACCCTGGCTCCTATAACCCACTCCAGCTGACAAAGATGTGTGCTCTTCAGGTTCCCGGTCTCCCAAAATAGGGAAGGAAGCAGGGAGCAGGGGGGATGAGGATAAAGATGGGTGACACATTCTGTCCAAGGAAACAGGTTCAAACCCCAGACAGCAAGGGCACTCTCAACAGTTACGAGCCACAACCTAAAGCCACTAAGGATGTGGACACCTCTGTTGGGGAGCCTTTGACAAATATCCAGAGCCAAGTCCCCTTTCCAGGACCCTAAGGGGACATGGGTCTGACACATCACCGGCACGCAGTGGGGACATGCACGCAGTGGGCACATGCACGTAGTGGGCACATTCTGATGAATGGCACCGCAGCCGGTCGAATGAGCCTCCTCCTACTACAGACCACTCAGATCTTACTGTGCCCAGCTCTGGCTGGCCGCCCTCCCATAAGCCACAACTGTCTGCCTGGCCTAGAGGACGTCTGGTCACCTTGCATTTGCAATCTCAGGAAGCTGTGTCATCCCAGCTACATCCAGAGGTGACTAACGCAGCTTGCAGGCTGACAGCAGGCTGCACGGCACAGCCCCCTCAGCTGTGGCTGCCCTCCCTCTGCCTCAAACCTGACTGACTGGTCCTCTCTGCCACCAGGTCCTTGTTGGGGTTCTGCCTTGTCCCTGGTGGTCCTGGGGCCTCAGCCTCCTTCTAACCTTCATGTTTCGCTGGGGATGTCCCCTGAGAACAGCTAAACCCAGATTTGTGTATGTGTGTATGTGTGTGCTGTCGTTCTTCAGATTGTTTACCTTGTGTTTTCCTTTTTAAGCTTTTTGTTTGTTGTTTGCTTGTTTGTTTGTTTGAGACAGGGTTTCTCTGTGTATCCTTGGAGCCTGTCTGGAACTTACTCTGTAACCAGGCTGGCCTTGAAACAGATCTGCCTGCCTCTGCCTCCAAAGTGCTGGGACTAAAGGTACACACCATCACCAGCTGGCTCTTTTTAAACCTTTAAAAATTACATTTATTTGCTGGGCGTGGTGATGCACATCTTTAATCCTAGCATTTGGATACCAGAGGCAGGTGGATCTCCAGGAGTTTGAGGCTAGCCTGGTTTATATAAGGAGAGTGTGTGTGTATAGATATATAGAGAGACAGATATATATCTGTCTCTCTATATATCCTTGCCAAAGTGTGTGTGAAGGTCAGAGGATAATTTGTGGGAGTCAGTTCTTCCATGGTGCAGGTCTTGGGGAACTGAACTCACACCATCAGGCTTCATGGCAAGCACCTTTACCCCCTGAGCCATCTCACTGGCCACACCTCACTGTTTTGAAACAGGGTCTCTCAGTGACCTGGAACTAACCACTAAGGATAGACTAGCTGACCAGCCAGAGAGGCTCAGTGATCCTCCAGTCTCTACTTCCCCAACACTGGGATAACAGAGCGTGTGACCACACCTAACATCTTTACGTGGGCTCAAGCAAGCACTTCATTGACTGAGTAATCACTCCAGACCTGTTTGTTTAAGACAGGGTCCACATAGCCCAGGCTAGCCTGGAACTGACCTTCTCCTGCCTCCACCTCCCAAGGACTGGAATTACAGAACCAGCTCTTAACTTCAGCCCCAAGGTCTCCTGCCTAACCCCAAGCATGGTTCAGCTTCACTCCTTGGCACAACAGATTCCCAGCTCTGATCTTGGTGCCTCAAACTTAGTCCTAGTCCTACAGAGAACATAGGACTTGGGGTTCCCTTCTGAGCTTCCTGCTCTGGGCTTCCTTCTCTGGCTGATGAGTGAGTGATCCTGGCTGTGGTGGACCGAAGGTCTCCATGCCACCCTCAACTTCCACTTCTTCCAGAAAGCCCTGCTCTCTTTGGGGAGTCGGACCTAGACCTGGTTCTAGAAATTTTTGCTGCACAATGAGCCCCTGTCAAGCAGAGAACTTATATGACTGATACCAACTCCCTCAGGGTATCAAGGCACTAAAAAAGGTCTGTTTTATAGGTAGAGGCAGGGATTCAGACAGGGAAGGAAGCCTAGGAGAGGGTGTGAGCCTTCCCCCTACTACACCAGATAACCCTATGGAAGAGCAGGCAGGTGTGCCACCAGACATGACAGCCCCTAACCTCTAACCCTGACTCTGACCTCAGGTCAGGCCATCATCAAGCAAGTGATGTAGGCTGCAGGACCCTCTCCTACACCAGGCAGCACATGGTCACCCAGCTCAGGTCTACCTCTGTGAAATTCTACAAATTTTCAGATAACACTTTCAATTTCCTGAAACTTCAGTTAAGAGGAAATATAAGGCATGTGTGACTTATAAAAAGCAAAAGTAAATACAAGCGACCAGGCATCTTCCCGGAGCGGGGGACAGGGAGGGTGGGGCGGGAGAATGAGTCACTGTTTATAGCTCCCGAGATCGGCCACACAGAGAATTCTCCCAGCTGGCCTGATTTCCATTTCCCGTGTGGACTAGACCCGAGATCCAGAAAGTCCACTCCAAGAAACCTTTAGACTCGGAACAGCCAGGGCAGAAACAGACATAACTTCTTGGTCTAGACTGGGATCAAGAGTTGCCAGGGACTGTAAACAAACCCTGGGGCCGGCAGAGCCCGGGACTGAAAACTGAGGGTCCCTGAGAGACAGTGACCAGGAAAGTCTCACCAGAAGCCTTGAGGGTGCTAGAGAAAGGGCTGGGACACAGAAAGAGCCGACTCTCGGGGAAACATGGCCTCCCGGACCCTCTGTCCAACTACCATTTTTAGCAACTACCTGGAAAGTACACAGCCCTGAACTTGGAACCTGGCCCTACAAGCCCAGCTCAGTTCAAGAACAAGAGGGGAATGTACTCCAGAGAAGCCTGGCGTGGTGGCTTTTCTTTTTTGCTCTAATAAATGTTTTATTTTGGAATCTCAAGAAGTTTAGTTTTAAGTTATACCATTAGACTTATTTCCTTTACCAAGGTCAAACTCATAACATTTCTCCTGTTGATTTATCTAAGGAGCAAGGAAGGTTTTGTCGTCAGGAGGGGCTGTCCACAGTGACACAGCCTATAGGCATGCCCTGCCTATCTACAGCTTTACTAAATCCATCCACATGCTTAAATCCATACCTTTTTGTTTTGGTTTGTTTTTTGGTGACAGTCTCACCATGTAACCAAGGCTGGTACTGAACTAGCTATGTTATGTAGTCCGGGGCTGACTTCCTGCCTTAAACTCTCGAGTGCAGGGATTATGTATGTCCCACATAACAGCTTTATATCAACGCCCCCCCTTTTTTAAAGCTCCCTGACCCTAAAAACATCAGGCTTGAAAATGTCAGCTTGAGGCATCACAGTACCCACGTGCAAGCCACCAGATGCCTTCCGAATCGTGGTTGTTATAGTAAGACCTCAGCAGCGCCAATCCCGGGGTCCCAGAGCTGTTTCTGGTTGATTCCACAGAAACGGATGCTCTGAACTCTTAACTACCAGCTGTGGCATAAGCTGGCTTTTTGGAACTGGGGGCACCGGGCAAGAGAAAGGTGAGTGCCTGTCGGTCAGCTGGCGGGTAAATTATTAAAATGCATCTGTGTTGGCTCTAAGAGCTGTATGATACGCAAGACTCAGCCTAACTTCACAAGAGAAACAAGAGCACCAAGCTGCCTGGCCTCCCAAATATCGACTGCCTGTGAACAGGGCAAGCTCTGGTAGGCTGGAGTGGCTGCCATCTCCGGCTGTAAGAATGCCAGGAGAGTCTCTCCCGTAAAGGGACCTAATCCAGGCACCTAGGACCCTAAGACTTTCTCCACCTGAGGTCTGCTAGATTTTGCTTCCCATTTCTCCTCGCAACACTCTTCACACACCTATCCGCTCACCGTACAAGGGGACCTCACACTTTAGAGTTGGAAGAGACCTTGGCCCCTGACCACACCTGAAGAAAAGTGGCGGAAGCGATAGGCTGGCCAAGACGGGTCACCTGCCTCGCTCCCCACCCACAGCTTCCACATCCGGCACCGCTGGCCGGTCAGCTGATTAAAAAGGGACACCACTTATCCAGGCCCTTGCGGGGTCGCGGCTGTGGCGGGGGCGGGGGGGGGGGGGGCCGGGGGAGTGGTCTTACGCCGACGGAAGTGGCCAGGTGCGCACGGCTCCCGGGAGCCGCTCTCCCGCACGTGGCGGGTCCCGCATGGGCCCTAAGCCAGGTCCCGCTTGGCACGTGCTCGAGGCCCAGGCTGGGCCCCGCGGCCTTCGGGGCGCGCCGCCTTCAGGTGCGCGAACTCGGGGCCCCCCTACCCAGTCCCCGAAGCCTCTCACTCACCCGGGTCGCGCGCGGGGCCGGGCGCGGCGGCTCCTCGTGGACACGCACTCTCCACGCGCGCCTCTGCTCTCGCTCTCCCCGTAGTCGCCGCCTCCGCCTGCGCGCTCCGGACTCCACGCTCCGACTCGGCGAAGAACAACAAGTCCCCGCCGCCCGCCGCCCGCCGCCGGCTCCCCAGTACTGACACCGCTTCCGGGATCGCGCGTCGAAGCGCGTCACCGCCCCGCCCCCGCGATGGCCACGCCCCTATCCGATCACGCCTCTTCGCACACCAAAGCCACGCCCCCTCAGGCCGAGCGTCGGTGCCACGCCCCCTGTTGACCACGCCCCTTGCTTGCCTAGTCACCGACTCCACCTAGATCCTTCCACGTGCTGTTGTCTCCATTCTGAACCCGTGGCCTTGTCCATCTCCAGCACACCCGGGGCGGGGTCAGTGCGCCCTTCCCAAGGTGGGGGATAATAGGCGAGCGTGAGGCACACCCGGGGTGTCTGTGCCCCACGTTTCCCGGGCCTTTCAGTCTGGGCACTGTGTCTCTATGCCATGTGCTACACACTGTGATCCTGAGGCCGCAGCTGCTGGATCCTCCCAGGCCCTTGGCAGAGGGAATGGAAGCCAACTGGGTGTTGACCATGTTCTGGACATAACACCAAGTCCAGGTCACGGAGGCGAAGTGAGCTGGGCGCTGGGAAGTGGGTCAGTTACACCACATATGTGTGTATGTATGTATGTAGACTGGTGTGCACATGCTACCTCGCATCTGTGGAAGTCAGAGGCAACTTTAGGGAGTCGGTTCTTTATTTGTCCCATATGGGTTCTAGGGATCGAACTCAGGTCGTCAGGCATGGCAGCAGGTACCCTTACCCGCTGAGCTATCTCACTGGCATTGGCTTGGAGCTCCTGATCCTCCTGCCTCCACCTCCTGAGTGCTGGGATCCCAAGCATGCATCACCATGCCCGCCTTCATCTCTCATTTTTTTTTAATTTTATTTTTTATTTTTTTTTTATTTTTATTTTGCAATACAATTCAGTTCTACATATCAGCCACGGATTCCCTTGTTCTCCCCCCTCCCGTCCCCCTCACCTTCCCCCCAACTCTCGCCCCCGCCCCCATTCCCATCTCCTCCAGGGCAAAGCCTTCCCCACAGACTGAGATCAACCTGGTAGACTCAGTCCAGGTAGGTCCAGTCCCCTCCTCCCAGGCCGAGCCAAGCAATCCTGCATAGGCCCCAGGTTTCAAACAGCCAACTCATGCAATGAGCACAGGACCCGGTCCCACTGCCTGGATGCCTCCCAAACAGATCAAGCTAATCAACTGTCTCACCCATTCAGAGGGCGGGCCTGATCCAGTTGGGGACCCCTCAGCCATTGGTTCATAGTTCATGTGTTTCCATTCATTTGGCTATTTGTCCCTGTGCTTTATCCGACCTTGGTCTCAACAATTCTCCCTCATATAAACCCTCCTCATTCTCGCTAATTGGACTCCCAGAGATCCACCCGGGGCCTAGTCATGGATCTCTGCATCCAGATCCCTCAGTAGTTGGGTGAGGTTTCTAGCATGACAATTAGGGTGTTTGGCCATCCCATCACCAGAGTAGGTCAGTTCGGGCTGTCTCTCGACCATTGCCAGCAGTCTGTTGTGTGGGTATCTTTGTGGATTTCTGTGGGCCTCTCTAGCACTTTGCTTCTTCCTATTCTCATGTGGTCTTTATTTACCATGGTCTCCTATTCCTTGTTCTCCCTCTCTGTTCTTGATCCAGCTGGGATCTCCCGCTCCCCCAAGCTCTCTTTCCCTCGACCCTCG